TATTTGAAACAAATATCAATACTTAGTTCCCAGTGGCTGTTGTGATGTTAATTTAAGGCGTTAGCACCCATTTACTGTTGTTCCGTAACTAACTGCCACACATGGTATCGTTTATAAAGAGAGCTTCGCCCTTTGATGGATGCACATATAATACTCACAGAATAAACGCTTCCTGATCGGGTGACCTCAACGTCATGGTGTCCGTCACCTAGCTCCACGCACAACTCCCAGCGGCTGCTCTTCATAGGAGCAGAGGCCACTCTGCAACACAAGCACAGACAAAACAAAGCTCAGATGAAACCACATTCAGGAGACAGGACTGGAAAAATGGTACGTCTAACGGATTTTATTAGACTACCGAAATTCGTGATTCAAAAATGTCACGAGAATCTAAAAAAACAAACAAACAAAAAAAACAAACAAAAAAAAAAAACGAATTCGCTCATTCCAAGTTTGTTGACGTCCTCACCTCAAGTCACCCAAGAACTTCTGCGACCGCAGCTGAGCAGTGATGTAGAGCGCGGCCACTGAGGCCAGCAGCTCCCTGCGTCCAGCGCTGTCCAGTTGATGACCCTTGAAACCCTCTGGATACTCCTCTGGAAGAAAGTTGGTGCTGATGTCACCAGAGACAAAGCGGGAGTTGGTAATGATTTCCCGCAGGAGTGGAATGTTGTGGGTCACACCTGGGGACGAAGCAGAAAAATGCACTTTAAAAATACTGACGACGGGGTTCAACTCATACTGGCTGTAAGAATCCGTGTTACCTCTGATGACGTAGTTATCCAGGGCGTCCTCCATCTTGGCGAGCGCTTCTGCTCGTGTCGCTCCATAGGTAACCAACTACATATTCGACGGGGAAAAAAAAAATTTCAATTTTGCAGTGTGGTTGTGAAAATAATGAAATATTTTGCTAATGAAGATTCAACTGCTGTTAAGCTGCAATATACAGCCCTGGTCATTTATATATCATTTACGTCTGCAGAAATCCCTGTTTTTGGCTAGTCTGCCTTTCCTCTCGTTTTAAATCACAAAAAGATCTTTTAAAATTTTAAATGTTAAATTCGTTTTTCTTATCCTATGGTAGTAAACTTCACAGCTGTGGAAAAAAAAAAAAAAATCTACGATGTAATCCTCACATACAAGTAGATTAAAAACAACAGAACCGAACCTTAGAGATCATGGGGTCATAGTAGATGCTGATGTCACTGCCTTCCTGGATGCCACTGTCTACACGGACCTGGAGGAAAGAAATGTTAGAGGATTCTATGTATATGTATATGTATATGTATATGTATATGTATATGTATATGTATATGTATATGTATATGTATATGTATATGTATATGTATATGTATATGTATATGTATATGTATATGTATATGTATATGTATATGTATATGTATATGTATATGTATATGTATATGTATATGTATATGTATATGTATATGTATATGTATAT